TCCTGCCACTTCCTTTTTAGTGCCAAGTTTTCTCGTTGAAAATTAAAATGCTGCAACACGAAGGAGAAAATGTAAAACGTAAACCAAAAAAAAAAAAAAGTATGAAATATATATGAAAAGGCTGTCAAGGGTCCAATAAATAATGTAAAAAGGGAAATGCTTCTCTTTTTTTTTGGCTCTTCTTCGTTGAGGCTCCTTCTGCCCTCAAGGGTATAAGTTCCATCTCAAGGGGTAAGCAATAACCGCACGCAAAATTAAAGCCAAAGAATTTAAGCATCGAAAATGTTGCATCAATTTCGCACCACTCCAATGGAGTGTGAACACACAGCGCATAATACATGTGCGTATGGTAAGTCTGGATAAGCCCATTGAAAGCTTAGCGCAGCAGAGGACGACACCCAGGCATATGGCTCTGAATAATGGACATAATTGTCGGTGGCCAGTTTTTGGCTACTTTCTGGCTAATGACCAGGCCTCCAGCCCATGCCCATTAATAATTCAATCGAGACTTTGAGTGCGCTTTGAGCGCATTACATTTAATCAGAATTTGCACAGTGCTCCGTCCTTGCGTGTTGGGTCTGTGAGTATCTGTGTGATTGTTTATGCTAATAATTCATAAACACGCGCCTGTGAAAAGCTTTGGCAAGCACAAAAGCACACGCAACCTCACCATCAGCCCCGGTTGGGAGGGGGAGTGCAGGGACAAGGGCGCAAGGACATTCATATATGCACCACAGACACATTCTCATGCGGGTACGAGAGATGAAATCTTGTAGAATAAGGCTTATTGACAGACAGCCTGTGTGTTCTGGTTCCCCTTCACACCCTGCCCCCTGCACCTCAGCAAAATCCGCTTACCCATAGACTCCCTGCCTGGCTCTGACTTGGAATATGGTAGGACTCGGCTCGTCTCATAGGTATCCAGTGAAAGGCTTCCCCCAAGCTGTTGCCCGCACACTTTGTGGTCTGTGCCATGGCATCCAAGGATAATAAAATGCTGCCAGGACGAGCACTGCTGCTCCTTTGCCTCTCATTCTGTGTGCGTGTGTGTGTGCTTATGGCAAATTCCTACTGCATCTGCCACAGGGACAAGACGCACACGCACATGTGAAGGAGAAGCTCGTTTTAATCTTTATGAAGCATATTTCATATCGTTTTTGGAACGCTTTTTTACGACTGCCTGGGCAGGTATTTGTCTCTTCTTTCCTCTTTTTTTTTCGGGCATTATTAAAGCGATTTTTATTGATTGACTTTCGGGGGTTGCCCCATGTGGAAACGCTTAACTAAAATAACTTTTATTTCTGGCCGTGCTCCTCATAACTTATCCACGTTGGCCCATCTGCAACTATTTTTAAATGTTTGTTCAAGCTTCACCTTTGGCATGGAAGGCGTTTCCCTTCCCTCGTGCACACAACTCAATTTTATAAACTGTTTGCCACAAAAAAGTCTCTTACATCTCTCGTATCGCTTTTCGAGTGCATTTTTATGACTGCCCGAACAGGTGCTTGTTTTTATTGCTTATTTTTTTCCTTCATTATTAAAAGGAATTTTATTGATTGACTCCCTGCGGTGTGCCCATTGAATATATAAAATCAGTTGAAGTTCTGCCAAATGTTTCGTGAACTACTTTAATGATTTACTTCATTTGTACACAAAACGCAAATATTTAATACTAAAGAATTTTAACTCTCTTATAGCTTTCGGTTTTTATTTGCTCAAGCACTTTTTTCTCTCCTTGTCATGATGTTCTTATTATGACAAATTATTGCACTTTCAACCACTTTTGTTGGCCAAGAAGTTTTAATTGTTTGTGTGACAAAGTTTATGCAATTATATTGGCTGTGTTCATATTTAAACATTAATTGCATTAAAGCAAGTGAACTCTTTTTTATTTAGGCAATGTTTTAATTGAAGAATAGTTCAGTTCAGGGTTAGGCTTCCTGTCTCTCCATTATCTCTTTTGCGTTTTATGTATTTTATTCTTCTTTCTTCTTTCCTCTTTCCTCTTTCTGCTCTGTGCTCTTTTGCTTAACTCGTTTTTTTCCAAGCAATTTCATGAACTTTGTGCAACCGAAAAAAGTTGTCATCCTTTTGAGGCACATTACAGCGAGTCTTTTGAATGCCTTTTCACTTTGAGCGCGCTCTTCCATCCACAGTATAGGGTATAAAAGGAGATAAGAACTTTTCGCATATCACGTCAATTCAGTTTTGTAATTAATGATAGTTTGTTTGATTAATATTTCGTTGCAAAATTCGACATGAGACATTTTTGGTGGCACTTTCGTGAAAAGAATTTGGCTTTGAGAGGTTTCAGCTGCTGTTAAATCGCGTGATTAATGTTCGTTGGGTTGGCAAGACTTTTTCCAATAATTCTTGAAAATTGACAAAAAGAAAGGGTATCCGCCTCTTGCCTTTTGGGAAAGTAATTCTCTGCTCCTGTCGAAACTATTACCTTTAGTCTCTTTTGGCTTAAGTTGTGCCTTTGGTAAGCAATGGCCAACATACCTTTGGCTTCATCTCTATCTCTTTACTGCTTGGGAGGAAGTACTTTAAGCAACGATTCAATTGGAAAGCCCCATGCCACAGCAATTACAATTACCTGGAGGAAAACCAACACGCTCTCGGCTAATCAGGAGCAGCCTGAGACCCATTTTCAGCCACCATTTATTTATGGCTCGGTTCAAGTGCAAGGCAATAAATCTATGGCAAAGTTTTTCCGAGTGTGTTGAATTTCATTTTCTGTATCATTAATTACCACAGTTTGTTTAAAGAGCGAATGAGAGGGCACTATAGGCGAGAGAGAGAGAGAGAGAGAGAGCGTAAGCCACAGACCGCCACCATTCGATAAATCATTCACCTTGCTGTTGCCGTTGCTGTTGCGAATAAAACTAAAAGTAAAAGTGGCCCACACAAAAACAGGGTCAGCAAAAACGCTCAGCTATACCATGTTTGATTTTAATACCCTTGAAGTGGGTATTGCGAGATTTGTCCCGCTGGTTTTTATATTTTAATGCAGAGCAGAAACCACCTCGCCATCAAGTTTTTTATAGCAGCGAATATCTGACCATTTCTCTTGGTTTGTTTTTCTGCTCAAAATAGTCCCTGAGTGTGGCAGATATCTGAAAATATTTCAACAGAAATTGTTTTCACTGAAACGACCTCAAAAAACACACAGAATATTATTTATTTTCAGAGGATATCATCTGATATAGGAAAAAGCAAACCAAATACGTGCATTTTTGGCCAGGGTAGCAAGAGCTTTGGCAGTCTCAGTTAGAGTTTCAATCTTTTCTGTTGCTCTTCTCTCTTTTTTCCCTTGTTTTTGTTGACTTCTTGTTTGGTTGTTTATTCAGTTTCAGTGGAATTGCAACTGATAAGGATTAGGGGGATAACAAAACAATGCATAACAAGGACAAAGTGCAGGTCAGGGGGCAAAAAAGAAAAGATAGAAACTGCACACCCGAATGGAATCTCGCTTGAAAGCTCTCTATTCTCTGCCTCCTTGTTGCCTCCCACTACAATGGGTGTTACGTATACGTAACGTGGCAACAATGAGCAACAGAACGAGCCACGAATGCAATTAAATTAGACTAACAGCAAATGGCCAGGATGGCTGCCTGCAGGCGGAAGGGCAGTCACGATGGAAAAATGGCTACATGAACTGACTGGACTGGCCAAAAGGAGGGCTAAGAAAGAGAGAGACACAAATAGAGAAATTGACTCTCTTTCTCTCTGCCATTTCGAAGCTGGCTGTCGAAGTGTGGGCTGTTGCAGTTGAACGGAGTGAAGAGCAGGGAAAGTGGCAGCTAAAATGGCAAAACTGAAAGGTTGAAACTTTGGCATTCAGTGCCAGGCGAAAGCAAAAGTGTTGATGCAACAGGCAAAAGCAACGACAGCAGCAGCAGCTGGAGGAGGAGCAGGCAGCAAAAGCATTCCCTAGCAGCAACTAAGCCATACCCAGTGGGGATCAAAAGCATATTAGACTGGGAATTAGTATGGCATGGATAAGGCCGGGGCGTGAACTTTTTTAAAGCTTTAATCTCTGACAGATTTTGGTTGTTTGCGTAGCTTTTAGTAGCCAATGTTGCTGCGGGCGACACACAACAGCAACAAAAGCCAAAGCCAGCAGTGGGTAAAGCATATTATGGTAATTCCTGCTCTAGGATGCTCCGAGCCAGAGACTCGTAGTTGTTATGCAAAAGTTTTCAACGTAGCTTACTGCAAATATGTGACATTCATGAAATGGAAATTCTTCTCCATGGAAATTCACTCTCCTCATTTAGACATTTTCAGGCACTTCATTTCGACATTTTCAAGGTGTACTCATGCCATGACTACAGCACTGCTCTTCTCATACTTTAAATCTTCATTATTTTCAAGAACTTTCCATCAGCAGTGCTGCCTGTGGGGTATAGGCCATTCCACAGCCCCAAGCAGTGGCTTAATGCATTTTTTCCGCTCTGTGCAGGTAACTGGTAAAAGATAAAGTTGAACTGAACTGTTACACATAAAAAAAAGGAGCAGGCAAAATGGCACAGCAATGCCATTATAGGACACAATGACTACAGCAACAACAGCTGGGTGTATTGCTTACAGCAAAAGTCTTTGGTGGTTGCCATGGGGTAACGGCAACGGCAACGGCTTCGGGTACGGGTGCGGGTACCGTTAAAGTACTCGTTTTTCATTGACGGCTCAAGAAGCACAATTACCGTCGAAGCATAAGCTAAAGTAAGCGCAGCATTAAGCCCAGAACAGCAAAATGAAACACCAACTAAACAGCACAAACTAAAAGTAAACAAAGGCGCAGAACAAAGAGCAATCGTCCTTGTTCTGGTTTTAGATTTCGATACGAAAACAAAATCGAAGGACATTCTGACAATCAGAAGGGAGATTTTGCATTGCAAATGTGTTCTTAAGAGCTTTACTCTAAGCAATAGAAATCTATGCGCCTCGATTAGCAATCAAATTAGCCCTCAGATTTTATCTTTTCTTTTTGTAAGCTTTAAGCATTTCTGTGTGCTAACGTGACAATCAAATTGATAATATATTTAAAGAATTTTCGGCGAAAAGTGAAAGTGAAAACGGGAACAAGGCCGAAAACCAAACAACCAACAAATGGCACATTATGCTGCTAAGGTCGCCAACGACTGCGGCAGCAGCGGCAACCGCAAGAGCAACACCAACACCAGCAGCAGCAGCAGCAGCAGCAGCATCAGCAGCTACGACGCGAACGGCAATAGCAGCGGCAGCACTTAAATGCAGCAGCAGGGAAAATCATCTGAAAACTGGCGAATAAAACTCAACGACAGGCAAAAACTATTAAATCTCGCTGGATGCCTGCGGCAATAGTTATTGTTAAACAACGGGCGAAGCAGCAGCATCAGGAGGGTCAGCAACAGCAGCAGGGGAGGGGCCAACAAAAGGAGCAGCACCAGGAACACCAGCAACAAGAAAGGAAACAAATTTGCAATATAAATTTATGCGAATTTTTGCGTCGCAGCGGCGCCGACAACGACGTCGACGTCGACGTCCAGGCCGAGCGTAACCCAGGCCAAGCTGCGGGCGTCGACGTCGCAGCAAGTACAGTAATACCAGCAGCACAAACAACAGAGAGAGCAGCAGCGAAAAAAGTGGGAGTAGAAAGAAAGAGAGAACGAGCTGCCATAAACGGCAGCGCAGCAGAGAGACGACCCATAGAAGCAGTGGAGTGGGCGGGAGCGGGAGAAGCGGGAGCGGGAGCGCGAGCACCAGGCACCAAGAGGAGAGCCACAGCAAGAACAACGCGTACAGTTATTATAATAATGGCGTTAGTTGTTAGCATAATGCAGCAACAACTACAACAACAGGGGCATCAAGAGCAACAGGAACAGCAGCAACAACAACAACAGCAACAAGAGGAGCAGCCGCTACTCTGGCCATTCTATAACGGTAAGTGCTCTACCTCTTTCACTCACACAACCAGTCGGCCATGCAACCGCACTCCCTTACCCATGCTGTTGGAGGCCACTTGAACCATTTTGATACCCTGTAGGAAAGGTGCCATGAATATTTTCTATTTACATATTTATGTATGTAAATTTCTAAAAGTTGTTGCTTGCTTCCATGATACATCTCACCTAACCATCGTGCAGCTGAAAGCAGTACTCATGTACATAAATTCGACAGAAACCACATTGCAGTACAGTGCATCACTTTCTCATACATAAAAGAGTGATCTATGATGGGTATCAATTGCGTCGTTACCAGCAGCTCACCCTTTAATGTTTTGCATTTAAAGAGCACAGAGAGAGAAGAGCGCGGCAAAAGAGGGGGTCAAAATTTGTATTGCATACTTTAGCTGTTTCCGGAATATTTCACAGCAATGCAAATTATGTTAACGTGCGTGGAAAAATAGCTAAACTGGCCGGCATCCGTCCGCTATGTCCGCCATGCGAATGGCGCTAAAAGTATGCTTTTAATAGTTCAAATTGCATTTAATGTATTATGCACAAATTGCGCACAACGGGCAACATCAGCACCAGCAGCAATATTAACATCAAGAGCAGCAGCAACATCTGAAACAAGAGCAATTCATTTGTTACCCTCAACAATTTGTTAATAATTAAATTTGTGCATAAAAATAACCGGACGAGTGATGGGGCTTTTGTTTGCTATTTATGAGTATACAGTTCGATGGACAGTGTATTTATAAGGGAGCGTTCAAAGCTAAACATAAATATGATAATTAATTGTTGAGCCAAGTGTTTCATAAATATTTCCACATTTTTCATTAGTACGCAGCAAATATTTATATATAGCTGCAGGGGAATATTTATTAGACAAAGTGTTTTCATGTGTAAGTGGGTGTATATTTTGATGGATGAAATATTTTGCCAAATCAACACGTTATTTGATGTTACTGAATTTATATAATCTAATATTTAAATTGGTTTAAATGATTTCCTGACGATTTGATGGTGTCTACATGAACACTGATTTGCATTTATATTTTCAAGGATAAAAGTAAAGCCAAGCTTACACGAACCGCACACCTCATGTATAATTAAATGATATGTTTGTATATCTGAGAAACTAATCAATAAGTCTGCAAGCTTAAGCTAACATTTACATATCAAAGCTGAATCAATCGAAGAAGATTGTATTCATATTTCGGACTTTTCCTTTGTACACATATATATTCAAATAAGAAAGTTTTCCCCATTTTGCCTTGATGAGGGGCTGTTGATTTATGAAGCAAAGAGCAAGAAAATCTTAGGCACTTGGATCCACAACCCATCCGTATCAAAAAGGCTCATATCTAAATCTAAAATAAATTAAAGTAAAATCTAATCAAATAATTAAAATAATTTCACAATAACATTTTCGCCTCCATCGCAAAAAAGTAGCACTTTAATAGCAGTAATTTTAAGCCAATTGTTAGCACTAGGTCCCAGCCACTGACGGACAAAGAGGCCAGAGACAAATGACGTTATGGACTCTTTTATTAAATTATTGACTTTTCTATTTAATGCTTGTCGCTTCTATTAAATTATTGACTCTTCTATTGATGCCGGCGAGTATTAATAATATTTGCACTTTATTTATTGAGCGGCATAGACTTTATTCCAGCTGAGGCTCTTCAGCTCTTCAATTATGTTGATATTTTATACCAACTCAATTAACACTCCATTTGACGCACCTAAAATCGATTTAATTGAAAATGGTAAAATTCAATTGAACTGATTATTGAAATTAAAAATTAACTTTGAATTTTTACAATACATTCCTGGCACATATTCCTGGCACTCAATTTGAGTCGAACATTGGGCGAAATTATTCGGAATTTTCACACAATTTATGGTCGGACAAGTTTTGCCCATTCTCCCTCTGTATCCCCCCCGTGTTCATCTATTCCGTCTCTTTCAATATCTGCTGTCTCTGCTACCGCCACTGTCCATCTCGCTCTGGCCATCTGAGTGATTCGAAGTGATTGCCTTTAGCTCTGGTGGAAGCTCCTCTGCATTTGCCTGAACGTGTCAAACGAAATTGAATTCCGATTCTCCATGCGGAATGCATCTCCTGCAGCTCGACCATTCCGAGCTGGTCAATATTTAATATTTACACGAACATATTCCTGTTCGGCTACTAGAGAGAAAGAGCAAGAGAGAGATCAACATTGTGCCTGTCCATCCGACAGCCTGCCGCTCGTCTGTCTGTCTCTCTGCGCTTCCAGCTGGATAGTTCTGGCCATATTGCCGTAATTATCTTCCACATCATCATCATACTCGTTCTCGTGATTGGAAACTGCTTAAATGCGTGCGAGTTGGCTTTGGGATGAAGTCTGCCCTGCCCTGCCCTGCCCTGCCCCAACCATTTCCCAAATTTTCCACACAATTCCTTTGCGCCCAAAAACTGTGTGCAGTTGCCTCTGTCTGGCCACTGCGTTCCACTGATTTATGGCTGGCTCATTGTCTAGCTCTTAGCTTCCCCCGTACCAACCCGCCACTCTCTCTCTCTCTCTCTCTCTCTCTCTCTGTCTCTCTCTTTTCCCACCAACTGTCTGCGGTTATACCGCAATAATCTTGTTTTATTAGTCTCTAGCGTAATTTTTCTACAGTTATTTCTTTTTGGACTCTGGCTCTGACTTTGGCTTTGGCTATAGCTTTTCCCTCTTTATTTTACTCTGTGGTTATTTCCTCCTGCGGCTTGGGGGGTATTCCCCATGGGTGTTTTTTTTTTCTGGTTTTTTTGGTTCTTCCTTTTTCTTGTTTTATTTGAGAAGCTCTGCCTGGCCCGAGCCCGAGCCGTTTCTGTCTTAGCTCATAAATAATTCATTAATATTTTTCAATTGATTTATCCCCCATTCGGCAATCCTCTAGTCGCTCGTTGCTCAACGCCCCGAATTTGTCAATCGACGTAACGGAGTTTCCTACGAAATTTGCCATGCCATATATCCGACATATCCTTGAGGAAAGTGGGAAAAAAGAAATAAAGTAGGATGGCACGAACGGGCGGAAAGTGGAATATTAGACAAGTTTGTTTGTTTATCGTGGCCTAGCGCCTGTCTGGGGAGTAGGGAGGAGAGGGCTTAAAGATGATGCCTGCTTAAAGTTGGCCAAGTTTCGCCCGCAACTTGAGTCCACAGTTCACAGTCTGGGTGGCAGGCAGGCAGCCACAGCAAAGCGTCTCGAGGTCGAGGCAACTTGGACCAGCATCAAATAATGGTTGCAAGTGGGTTAAACTTGTGGCCACAGCATAGCGCAGGACTTTTCACTGTGCTTGATCTTGTTTCAGATAAATTTCCTCAATAAGTGCTCATTATTTGGGTTGCTCAGGGGCAGGACTCATGGCTCTCATATCACGCATCCATAAACACATTTGCTTAATGACCGAAGTGGGGCTCAAGCCAAATGGCCAAGTGGCATTAGCAAATCTTCAAAAATTCTTGCGCCCCAGAAGTTGGGCCGGGTCAAATTTTCAACTAATTAATGAAATTTATGTCGGTCAACTTTTCGTCGTTGTCGTTGTCGTTGTCGTCTTCTTCGGGGATGGAAAATAAGACCCTACGCCTCTCACGGGGACAGCAACAATGGGGACGTGGCCCAGGGAAATGGGGCCAACTTTGCCAGCGAGAGACGCAGAGGACGAACAGCTAATTAAATGCAATTAGAGCGGCCTTGGGAGGGTGTAGCTCTGGCTATGCCACTGCCCGTCTGCTCCCAACGTTCTTAGATAGTTAGTTGTAGGCTGCAAAATTATGTGCGAGCGGCATAAAAGTTTGCTCATAAGAAGTTCGTTCGTGTTTGCTGCTGATTCGTGCGGAATTTGCGAAATTTGTAAATCAATATAAAATGCTCCAGTTATGCGGGTCTCTGCACATTTCTCATAAGGCCGCCTCCTTTGACAGGGCCAAGTTGTTAAACTTGATTAGAACATTAATTCAGTTTTAGTTTCAGCTTTCACTTCTGTTTTCAGCTTTGGTTTAATGCTCAATTCAGGTTATTGGTACGGTTCGCTTATGTTTCTACTTAAATTTAAGTTCCGGTTATAGATTTGGTTTTGCTCTCATTTATGGTTTAGGGATGTGGAATAGGTTTCGGTAATTGGATGAAACTTGAGTGGCCCTTATGCTGAAGTTATGTTCAATTTATAGTTTTCATTTTCATCATTGCCATTTACAATAAATTCATAATTTAATGTTACAGCTTCAGCATTGGTTTCCACAGGCACAGAGCACTGTTAAGCCCTTACTGTTAAGAGCAGCAGCACAAACAGAGCAACAGATTAACAGCGCTGTTACTTCTGCCACTCCCGTTTACAGCGCACTGTTAACGCTCGCGTTCGCCCTCAAGATCCACACGTCACTCGAAGGGGCTTAGCTTATAAGCTGGAACTACTTGAGCTTCAACCCGCAATGCGAACTGACGTGAATAATATACAGTGATTTAAATATTATAGCGGACTTGCACTCATTGCTGGAGCACTCCTACAGTTAAACCTTCCTGCAAACACTCTTTTCTGAACTTCAGTCCCGAAGTTGGATGTCCGGGGTTCCTTTTTCCATTCCACATCCATTACCTTTTCAAAAGCTTAACTGCCAGGTCGGAGCATGTCTGCAATATCCATATAAAATTCGATTATTATCACGTACAAGCCACAAAACTTTACAACTTTTCTGATCCATTTCATTTTGAATCCACGCGTAGGATTTAGTCATGGAAGGCTAATAAATCCAGCCACATCCTGGCTAAAAACCAAGGATTCAACAGGATTTGAGTGAAGCCAGGCAAGTCTACTGTTAAGTCCTGTCTACACTGTTCAGAATGCAGTTTATATTTGACTTTTAGTGCCGACTTTCGGTGCCCGACCTTGTTCCACTTTCGCCTCTAGTTCAAGGTTCACTTCCCGTTCAAGTTCCCCTCGGCAGCATCCAACCACTTCATCAGGAG